AGCACTCTGGGAGGCCGAGGAGGGTGGATTGCTCAAGGTCAGGAGTTTGAAACCAGCCTGAGCAAGAGCGAGACCCCGTCTCTACTATAAATAGAAAGAAATTAATTGGCCAACTAATATACTATCTTACTTATTTTATTTTATTTATTTATTTATTATATTTTTTAACATAAATCTGGTGGGAAGAATTTAATATTTTTTTTTCTTTTTTCTTTCTTTTTTTTTTTGGAGATAGCAGTCCTCACGTTGTTGCTCAGGTAGAGTGAGTGGCCCGTTGTGTCAGCTAGCCCGCAGCACCTCAAACTCCTGGCTCCAGGGAATCCTCCTGCTCAGCCTCCGAGTAGCTGGGAACTATCACCGGCACATGTGGGGCGCACTATCGCGCCCAGCTAATTCTTTCTCTATCATAAAATTGGCTTTGGCCACCTTAATTTCTCTTCTATTTCTAGTAACAGAGCGAGGTCCTTCCTGCTGCAGGCTGGTTCGAACGCCTGACGCTTGAGCAATCCTCGCTCCTCGGCCGTCCGCAGACTGCTGAGGCTTGATCAGCCGTGAGCGCACCGTGCTGGCCTGAACTTAATTTTTATAAAATTAACAACGGAGTCTACGCTCGTTTTGCTAGCCTGCTATTATCACCTTAGTAATATGCAACATTTAATGACGATAGCTTTTTTTATTTATCCCATAACGGGTTTTTCTAAATATTATTTTGGCGAGGCACCATCGGATAGCTTGCAAGTTCTGTGTTCTATTACTGCTTGGCTCGGATTATATAATCTTTAGAAGTGCTAAATCCTCTCTGTCTGCATTTTGTAGCTCATTCAGGATGAAATACGTGTGTGCCGGCTCTGCACACTTATCTTTTCTTTTTTTTTTTGAGACGAGTCTCCTGTGTTTTACGTCGGGCCGAAGCTGCGGCTAGCGTCACCTCCATTCAGCCAGCAACCCTCAAACTCCCTGGAACTCAAGCGATCTTTCTGTTCTCAGCTCCAAGTAACGCGAGCTAGCAGGGGCATGTGCCAGCGATGCGCGCGCCTAATTTTTTCATATATTGTTTTTTAGTTGGCGCGACTAATCTTCTCTTTCTATCTTTGACGCTAGACGACCAGGGTCCTTGCTCTTGCCTCACGCGCTTGATTTGCAAGCTCTGACCTAAGTGATCTCCCCACTTCGCCTCCACGACTGCTAAGGAAATCTCAGGCCATGCAGCCGCTGTGCACAGCGCGGCTCTCAATTCTTCATATACTCCCGCTACTTGCTTTTTTTTTTTTTTTTGAGAAAAGAGTCTCAGCTCTTGTTGCAGGCGAGTGAGTGGGCGCGGCTTCAGCGCTAGCTCCAACAGCAAGGCGCTCCACACTCTGGCCTCCAAGTGATCGCTACTGCCTCGACCTTCGCAAGTTAGGGCTGGGACTACAGGCATCCACAGTGCACTACATGCGCGGCTAACTTTTTCTTATATATACTCTCAGTTGCAATAATTATTTCTTTCGTATGATCAGTAGAGACGGGGTCGCTCGCTCGTTGCTCAGGCTGCGTTTTCGCAACTCCTGACGCTGAGCAATCTGGCCGCGCCTCGGCTTCCCAGAGTGCTGGATTTTCATAGCGTGAAGCGCACCACACCGTGGGCCGCAATATACTTAGCTTTTTAAGTTTTTAGGTTAGCTGTTCTCCGTTTTAGCTTTACTACATGAAAACTTTGTTCTGCGAGATCAGCCAGAGGCGACAAACGGGGGCTGGTTTGTCTGTTTATGCTGTTTTTTTTTTTTGTTGCAGAGATGAAAGATCTTGCTAGTTGCCAAGCTGCCCAAATTCTCTGCTTAAGTGGACTCCTCCTTACCTCAGCCCTGCCCCAAGCTACGCTGGGACCATAGGCTTGCTTCGCTTCCACCTGTTTAACGCAATCAAGAAATGGGCGTAGGCTGGGCATGGTGGCTTCTCATGGCCTGAATCGCAGCACTTGGCGAGGTTAAGCAGGAATCATTTCCTGGAGGCAGCGAGGCTTCAAGACGCCAACCTGGGCAACATAGCACCGACCCTGTCTGCTACAGAAAATTAAAAAGTAAAACAGCCACATGGGCTTACAATCAAAATGTCTTACCTCCATCCCTTCTCTCGCACGAACTCCTAATGCTTCTAATGAAAGAATGCATCAGCTTCTGCCTCTTGTTCTCTTTCGCTCTACGTTCCCAACTACTAGCGTGGCTCTACCAATGGCACTTGATGGAAAAAAAGCAGGTAACAGAACTTACAGAGAAGCAAAATTTATTTCTCTCAGTATTCAC